TATTATTTTCACTAATTACTGGATTAATTGAAGTAGATTAATAAAATTAACCTAATTACGGACTCGGAAATACTAAGTGTGTGATTAGTTAATAAAATCAGACTAAGTTGATGATGATTAGTTAGTTTAAATAACTTTTATAATATTCAGATGTATTATTAATGTCGATTAAAGTAATCATGAAAACTGAATATTTTAATATAATTCCGATATTAACATATTTATTGGATTATGAAGGATTATTGTATTAATTACCGAATTAGTTTAAAATAGGACAAATAATACAAAGTATGAGGTAGTTATTAAGTAGGAAGATATTTATAATAAACTATAATCGAAGTAGTTCGAATATGGTATAATTCATATGTCAATAATAATAATATTAAATTATAGTTAATTAATTTGATGTAGAATAAATTGATGGTGATTAATCAAATTAAAATTTGGTTATTTTAATTAAATACATGTCGGTTATTATAATATAATTATAGAATTCAAATATTAGAAATCATGGCTGAAGTAATAAAATGATTTGATTCAAAAAAAAAAATGATTAACTCAAATAATTAATTCGTTAAATTAATAAGTTCGCATAAAAGAGAAAAATTGGATAAATTATTAAAAATACAAAAAAATGACTAATTAAATCATCTTAATTCAAAAGGTGAATATTTAGAGACCGGAATAGAAGAGGAGAACTAGGGGCGTCAGGACCTACTGTAAGTTTCTCTGCCAATCCAAAAATTGTTTCCTCGTATTATATGCTTAGTAGTTAGTATGCATTATGTGATTAAGTGTGAATTGTGAATTATGAGTATGTGATTTTGAGGAATACAAATTAAGAGTACTTTTTGGGGTATTAAATATTTTTAAATACCTTTGAGACTAATTAGAGAGATTGAGAAGTATTTTTGAAGTATATCTTAATTCAAGATAAAAGTAAAGATTTTATAAGAGGTGAGCACCGCGGGAGAAATCCACGGTGTCGGTTTTCCACATCCGGATAAATGTGGAGGGTGATTAGGGCTGCTACTACTAAGAAGTACAGTTTGAGTTTGAAGTAACATTTGGATCTATGATCCCTTTTAAGAAGAAGTTATAGTAGTAGTCCCTAATCATTCAGAGATATCTTATTCAGGAGTAGTTGGTAGACTGAGTCCCGATTACTCGTGACGACTTACTACTCGGAGGGCTTGGAATCCCTTTTAGGGGGTGTGCACACTTAAGGTAGTCGTTTCGTTTCCGCAAGAGCAGTTGTGGTACCGGCACTTGTTTGGGGTGGCCGTCCGTAACCACGGTCCACCGGGCTCAGTCGAAAGGTTGAGCACCGCAATTCTAAATTACTAGGAAGTTAGAGAAGAAGTGATTTTTGAGATGATCAAAGAAGAAGAGAATTTTTATGGAGTGAGTTCTTTTTATATAGTATTATATGAAAAACTATTTTTCGCCAAACCTGATTATTTTACGGGGTTGGGTAGTACTTACTTAGCTCTAAAGCTAATTTTTGTTTTCTTTCTTGTTTTGTTTCTGCACGATATTTGTGCAGGTGATGATGGTTATGTTGATTGCTGAATGCATGCGCCTGAGAGCGAGTTAGAAGTTGCCTTAGTCAAATTTAGTCTTGAAATAAACATTTAATTATTTAGTTTTATTGTTTTGTTTTAGTTGCCTGTGCATCCGGTTGAGAGATGACCGGATGTGGCGGTAACACCCATTTCCCTATTTAGACTTCCGCTGTACTCTTTAAATTTTATTATCAATAAATAAAAGTTTTATTTCAATCATATCAATGTTTTTGGGCGGGAAATTTGGGGGTGTTACATTGACCGGTAAGGGTTGCCAGCGAGGTTCAAAGAAAAGCCTTCCCTATCAAATGTGAGGACCTCGAATGCAAAATTGCCAACGTGCCTCAAAAGAAAATGGGAACCGAATGGGACGTTGTTGTCCATGATGAATTCAGCAAACCCAGATGTAAAAGTGAAGTCTTCCACTTTCACTATCCAGGACTTCGGGCCATAAAGAAGCTTAGCATACTGGCGGGTGTGTTCGAACAAGTGTCTGCGCATGCATGGAGGAATTTTATGCACAACAAAACCACAAAGCAAGGATAGGGTGATGTTGGAAATGGAAAAAAAAAATAATCATTCAAGATGAGTGATTCAGTTGGGAGGAATGTACACAAAATTCAATATCAGTAACAGCAAACAGAAACCAAACAATAGCAAACTGCAGCACGTCTGGGTAATGAATAGAATCAGTTCGCGAACACACTGCGAAAAACATCACAATGCACCAACATGAAAAAGATAATGTTGCTAAAGTGTGTGACCAATATAGGAGGATGGGGGAGGGGGGATTATTCGGAGATTAGGTTACCTGCAAGCTAGGGCATCAATGCACCGTGGTGTGTATAGTGATTTAGTTTGTGTTGCAGCTCCGCCTCGCTCCTAAATGTCTTTGGCAGCAACCTGAAGTAACCAGTGATCTCCAAAAACTGTCGCCAGTCCAGGCTCGCGATGAAGCCAGTTTGGGTTCCATCACCAGGAGTTATGACAACAACCGCAATATGCCTGCCATGGACTGTGTGTATGTAGTATGTTTGTCCATCATTGCCTACAGGGGTTTTTGTTGGTTCAAGAGTGTAATGGGTGAACAAATCCATTGCACATGTGAATACAAAACAAAACTGAACATCATGCCATGCACAACAAGGTTCAGCGAGTAAAAAGAAAAAAACAGGGACAGTCAAAGCAACCCATGCAAAGGATGGTGGTGAGTGGGGGCGTGACGAGAGGACATACCTGTGGATGGCAAAGGTTGACGCGTGAACCAGGAAAGAAGAGGATATGGACGGCGTCCTCGGTGGATGAGAGAAGTAAGCAATGAACCTCGAAGTGTGCTCTGTAAAGGTTTTGTGCGACGAAGAGGCGCCAGGGGTGTAAGTAGGCGGTTGAGTTCTACGATTGGTTGGACTCAGAGGCGCAATTATGGGCCAGTGAGATGCGTGCATTTTAAAGTAGAAAAACGAAATATTATGATGTTTAATACACGCTTAGGAATAATAGATTCAATGGTTCTAATTTGTTTTTACAATTGAATAAAAACACAATACACCCCTCCCCTCCTCAAAAAATACAATTTTGGTTGTTGGGTTTTTTAAAAAGCAAACCAAAATGAACAATGAATAATACTAACAATAATGAGCGTGTTATGAAGTATTGTAATAGCAGTATAACATGTCATGCAAAATATGCAACCCTTTCCTCCAAAATAAATAAAGAAAAACGAATAATGTTAAACAAAAAAAGGGGAAGGCGGAATGTTTAGTCATTACAACAAGAATCCCCTTGCTAAAAATAACAGTCTCTTTTCTTTGAAAATTGAACGGAAATTATGGGGAAAATATCAACAAGAAAAAATGCGGATTCGCTTGCTAAAAAAACGAGGTACCCAAATCTTTGTGAGTACATCGAAATATGTTTTTTAAAACCATTCATCAATAAAGAAGAAGAGATGTGCAAGGATGTAACTACTCGAACGTAAATGTGCAGAACGTGGCCCATGTAGTTTTCCAAACAAAAAAGATGAATCAAGTTGCACTAAAAAAGAGTTGTGTGGATGGTAACAATTTTGAATGACCACAGGTACAAAAATTAAATGGCGAACTTGTGATGATTTGCCTAGGATGCACATCATGTGGATATGACAGTGGCTTTACACATGAGCAGAGTGCATGGAATGGCACACTTTCTGTTCCTCTGAATGGTTTCAAAAGAGTAAGATAGCGGCAAGTTCCATTCCCTGCGTATGCATCAAAACATAAAAAACATGTCTTGGGGGTAGGGGAAATGGGATACGTATAGTGACCTGTTGTAAGTATGCAAAAAAACATTATGCAGCAAACGCATGCAATTACTTGTGTGCACCTAGCACGTTTAGTAACCACCAGCAAAAAAATATTTACAACCATCATGAGCAATGAAATAGGCCAATATGACCCATGCACAACACCATGACTGTGGACAATGTTACAGCCCCTACAAAACGTGAGTTTTGGACAAAAAAAGTGTGCGTGTATATACAACACTTTTTAGGCATTCAAGCGCAGTAGCCAAACATCAGTGGCAAAAAGGCAGGTGGGTCTTCAAGCGTGGTCTAGGCCTTGCGTTTCTTGGGGCGCAGGTCAGCAATGACATCATCTTCAGGCTCTTCTGGCTGGACAAGTACTGTAGATGAACTGGTAGCTTCAGCGTGTGACGGTTTAGCCGGTGTCTTGACTGCAACATTCTTCTTTGTTGGGGCAACCTGAACCTTCACAGAGCTTGAGGATATACTGGAATCATCATTGTAATCCTCATTCTCAGATGGCTTCGCAGATGGCTCAGCAGGCTCATCCTGGGGCAGTTCATGGAGTGACCTAAATGCAACCTTGCGTTTAGGCTGAGCAAGTTCAGTTCCACCTGAGTCCGAAGATACTGGGTCTCCTGGGGGTGCAGTGTTCATTGTCCCCTCTTCCTGGCAAACGCACAGAATACCGTAGGGGTTTCCACGGGGGCCATCTTCATTCGTTTTGGTGTGTTTTACCCCAGCAACAATCGTCAACCTTTGCAGCTTTGCATCCAATGACTCCAAGTCAAAGTCATTTTCAGGATCCATCTTAGCATAAACGTAAAGCTTCAGGACATCATTGGTGAAAAATGTCACCGGAATGGCAGACGTGTTGTCAGAAAAGGTTGCATTGAGTATGAACCTGCACAAATGTAAACCCATTAGGGGTCAGAGAGGAAATCATCAACACCAAAGCTGTGACAATGGATGCATACCGTTTAACTGTTTGACCGGCTTTTTGGCCGCAGAACTTGCAATGCAAAGTGTTGCCTTCTGGTGCATAAACACGACGATTGCAATAATCACAGCCGATGTAGTACGCCTCCCCAGAAGTGTCAGCCAGATTTATTTTACCACATACCCACACCACTTTCATTTGCAATCACAAATATCGTCAGTATATTATAACGGGTATGTATTTCATCAATTCTATTTCCTGACAGACCTTATCAAGAGCAGTCTCCAGTGATGAAAGAGTTATGCGGGGTTGCGCAAGTGGAGCAGCAATATTGGCAAGGGCATTGTTATATTGTTTCTCTCCCAATAACTCCGTTATCTTGCCTCTGTTCTCCATGGCCCGGCATTGAAAAAACAAGGGGTGGGGAGGTAGTGAGCAATGACCAGTGCGAGTGTGACAAAACTTCATAAAGTCAAGAAAGGTGAGGGGGGAGGGAAGGCACCATTTTTTCAGCACTTGTGCACGCTCACCAACAGGGTTGAGTTCCATGTGGGAATCATAACGAGTCGCCAGTGACAAGCCTGGAACCCTAAAAATGCATCAAACAAACAAGAATAGCCTGGCATCCCAAGCAGGCAAGAATAGAGGTTACCTTGATAAATGTTTGTACCAACCTTGCTAAGGAACATAACTGGCCACTCTCCTGCCTGCAAGAACTTCTCAATGTCTGCACCGTGACGGGTCACAAATTCTTCCCACATCGTCAGCGGCACAAGGGTAAGACTAAAAAGAATAAATGGTATGAATGATGACATAGGTTTAGTAATGAAAAGACAGTACTGCAAGAAAAGAAAGGTAATCTCACTCTTCGTTAACAACAACTACATCCCGCACAAGCTTTTGTTCCTCTCCCATCACCACGAAGTTTCGGGGTAATCTGGCGACTATCACGGCCAACAGACCTGCCAAGCATATACCACAGTCAGGGAACACCAGGGGTGATGAGAAAGATTAGTGAATGAAATATGTGGAAAAAGCGTATTGAATTTCTGATCAGTTAAGTGGCACGCAAATAATTCACTAAAAGGTTTGGCAGAATTTTCAGCATCCTGGCGGAAGTCAACTCCAGTTTCAGGGTCAGTATCTTGGATGAATGTGCGCCTAGTGAATGACCACACATACTGGTAGTTGTGGTCAACACAGAAGCGCAGATCATTCAATGGCTTCACATAAACATTGGAAATCAGATAGGTTGAGTACAACTGCAAACGTGCGTCAAGCCCAGCAATGTCCCCTGCAAAAGCAGTTGCCTGCACCTTATTCCCCTGTAACACCAAAGCAGGAAAATGAGGAAGGAAAAGAGATGTGCTGACATATTTCAACTGGAACAACGTCTGAAGTATAACTCAATGCAGAATCTATGAGGACCATTGACATAAACTTGATGGGAGATGTTCTTGCTGTCCGTATGTTTTGTTTCTCTACCACAGTCAAACGACATGTCCACTTTTTTGTCTCGGGCTTGACATCCACAATTAAGATTTCGGCTGACATGGATGCAGAACACCTGCAGTAGGAGGAACAGAACAATAAAATTCAAAGCAAATCAAGAAGCGTAAAACAAAAGTTAGGTGTATTTTGTATAACAGAGACTAACCAGTGGCATGAATTCTTAAGTAATGAAAGCCAGTATGTCATCATAAACAATATTACAAGTACTGTCAGGCCGGAAAGGGGATTGGGCATCAGGACAAATGACAATCTTAATGGATTGCGCATTTCTAGCCCGAGACATCGCAACATACAGTTGACTGTGAGAAAACACTGATTCTTTCAAATAAATCCCAACGAAGTCTAGTGTTTGACCCTGTGATTTGTTGATTGTCATTGCAAAACAAGCTTTTACTGGAAATTGAGTACGTTTGAATGGGAGCACACAACCAGCGTCTTTGGAAACTTCCAGAGGAATTTTTGGGATGAACACATGCTTTCCTTTGTGGTCTCCCGAGGCAATGAAACAACTCAAAAGATGTTCTCCAAATGAGTCACAAATCAATCGGGTCCCATATCAAAGACCCTCACAAGGATTGATATTTCGGAGCAACATTACAGGACAATTATGTTTGAGGGTTAGTTTGTGGGGTGGCAAACCAGAAGAAGACAATGTGTGAAGATAATCTTCACAATGTGAATTTTTTGAATAAGTGGGGGCATCATAGCTCAGATATGTGTGTTCATCACCGGGGAACCTTTCCATCACCCATGAATTAATGAAGTCAACGATGGCATTTTTTGTAGTTAGAATGGAGCACGACATCAGAGCATATGGATCGGTTTGAAACAGTTGCATGTCTGGGTAAACTGCCTTGAAAAGCATATTAAGTGAATCCTCTTCATTGACCCAAGGAAGCAAGAAGTTTGAAGGAATTTTGATCCAGCTTGGAGAAACATGTGATTCTGAACCATTATCAATGCGCATCAGGTATTCACAAAACCCTGGATCCTCATGGGTGCGCATGTTTTCAGTCATCCGTAGGCGCTGAACCCATGGCCATATTCTCAGTGAACGGAGAAGGCAGGCATTAATAAAGTCTGCACGTGAGCCTGAACGGACCACCGACAAAGTCTGTCTAAAATCTCCACCAAACACCATTACACGCCCCCCAAACAATGCATTAACGCCCAGTAGGTCTCGTATAGTTGTGTCCAAACTTTCCACAATCATGCGGTTGGCCATGGAAGCCTCGTCCCCCAAGATCAACCTTGCTTCTCTAAGAAGTCTAGCATCAGCAGATTGTTTGCCAATATTGCAAGTGTACTGGGTTTCTCTGTCAAGGGGAAGTTTAAAACGAGAATGTGCAGTTTGACCCCCAGGTAAAATCGACGCTGCAAGCCCAGAGCTTGTTGTGGCAAGAGCAATCCATCCGTTTGTTCTAGTCGCTGTAAGTAAGCACCTGTACATGAAGCTCTTTCCTGTTCCACCAGGGCCATCTAAGAAGAACACTGCCCCTTCCTGTGCGCGAACAGCTGTCATAATGGTTTCAAAAGCCAGACGCTGCTCAATGTTCAACAACGGTATTCCAGCAAGGTCTGCCTCACTGATAACCACATTAAGTTCAGCCAGAACTTCACGAGGAGCCCCAAAGTCCAAAGGGATTTCCAGAGCATTATCGGTCAGACTAAACGAACTGATGTCTTGCCCCATTTCAGAAACCAGATTCCTAAGCAAAGTCAAAAGTGTCATTTCTGCGTCACTGGGCGATTGTATCCTGGTCAAATCTTCACAAAGATGTGGTTTGTATGCATCCCAGAGTGCGCGTGGATCTGCAATACCAAAAAAGCAAAGATGGGTAGCAAATAGTCTACGCAAGCTGGAAGGCAATTGGAACACCACAACTTCATCAAGAGAAGCGCGCACCACTAAATCTCCAGCCAGTAGCCCTAATCGTTCAGCCGCAGCCCTGAATGTGGGAAATACTTCGTCATTAACGTTTTTCAGTTGAGAAAATGAAGTTGGTGCACACACATTGGCAAGCAAGAGGCGTAGGTAATATCGCTCCCCTTCAGTAGGGTTGACAGAAACAAGACGTCCTAGAACCTCCCTTCTCTCACGTTGAGTCCATTCTTTTTTATGGGCTGTCCAAACAAAATAGTGTGGGAATTCCAAGTACAAGAGATTCAACGCGCGAGCAACCTGATTGGTGATGTTCATTGCAAAGAATTGTGTGACCATGGTTTTCACAGAATCAGCTGCCCCTGTTATGCACGTTATCCGTTGCTCCCCATAAAATGAAATGTATTGAGCATTTTCCAGATGAACTTGAAGTTGCAGCACGACATGTTTCATTTCAGCTATTGAAAAGCCAAAATACGCCATGCAGCCTCAGGGGGAGAAACCCAACGTGCCTTCTGGAAGTCTCTGATTTCATCAATACGCCATGCCCCATCAGGCCTTCTCTCAGACAAAGACATGCTCACCCTGTCATGGCCTTTGTAAATATACTTGTATATGTATTTCACAGACCTCACACTTGCATAAGCTTAAACATTAATATGACAATCATATTTTTTCAACAGCTGTGGTAAGGGACAACCCACCAATTGTCGAGTGTATGCTTCCATACAGACACAGTCACCCCACTTTCCCGCCTCCTATAGTAAGGAAAACAATTGTCATCAAACGTGGTCACAGGAGCAAAGTCATGCGGGTACTTACTTCTGCATGTCGCCAATCCTGTACCATGAGTTGTAACCATGCATGGACATTCTGGGTTCATGGGGCCACAAGGACCATGCATCATGTGTTTTTTCACAAGCGAAAACAGCAAGGGGTCTGCCACGGGGTCAGGGAGTTCTGCAGCAATTAGACTATCGCATCGTGCAGGTGAGAAAATTTTACATGTAGTATCCAAGATGAGCAGGAAATGAGCATGGGGGAGTCCCCTTTTCTGGAATTCAATCACATACGTGTATGCAACAACTTTACCAAACAACGACTTTGTTATAATATCCTTTTTAAAAGATTCCAAACAGGCACGAAACACGCGTGCCACAAGGTCAGGTCTATTTTGGACTTCATCAGCGAACCGCAAACGGCTCTTAATTTCAAACCAATTGGGGTTACATGTGATGGTTATGAACAAGTGTCATTGCATCCATGTACCGGCCACGCATATCACGGGGCCCACCAATGAAGGAACTTGGCAAAATTACGCGTCTTCCAACGTCACTAGTATTGTTTAAACCCAACCCAACACTATCCATCAATCCCTGATAGGTTTCAGAACGGCAGTCTCGTTGTTTGCTACGGTAGTAATCCAGACGCTGTGTCTCTATTTTGATATATATATATATATATATATCAACGACGTACTGCTGAAACAGTCTGTGTTGGTCCCGTTTAAGATGGAAACAGTCTAGAGGGGGGGGGGGTGAATAGACTGTTTAGGTTTTCAAAATTTTCTCTAAGTCCAAACTGACTTATCAGAGAAGGTCTGATTCTGGTGACAGAGAAGGTCCAATTCTGATAGCAGAACTGGCCTTGGAAGCGGATTGGTTCTGTCTTGGTAGCCTCAAACAAATACTAAGGCAAGTGCCTTTCTGATAACTCTTAATACAAGATCTGCTGAACACAGATTCCAAGTCTAAGAGTTATTCAGTTGGAGTCCTAAAGGCAGAAAGTAAAAGCAGTAAAGTAAAGGACACCAGAGGTTTTTATAGTGGTTCAAGGAACAACGCATTCCGCTAGTCCACTGTTCCACTAAGCTTGTAAATTGACAATTACAACGCCTTAGTTCCTAGCACTTAAGAAGCTCTCCACGTCTTCTTCAAGCCTAGTTGCCACCCAGGATGCAATTCCACTTCCTGATGGCTGGTCTTTTCACTCAGCTTCCCGGAAGTATCACCACTTCACTACTGCAGTTACTTGGACGCCTTTCTTTGCAGAAGATGTTCTGAAAATCAGAGTTTTCTCCAACTTGCTTCGTTACAAAAGATTTGTTGTTGAAGATCTTGAAGTGTTGAAGAACTGAAGGAACTTTGCTCTTTGTTGGGTTTGAAGAATTTGAATAAGACTGATCTTCCCAACGTTAGCTTGTCTTGTTGATGATTGTGGAGGTTGAATCTCAAGAGAGCTTTTTGAATGATTAAGAGAGCAAAAGTTACCCGGTTGTTCTTCATGAGTATCCTTTTGTACTAGGAGTTGCCTGCCCGTTGGAGGAGGAGACAACTACATTGAATGCGCGCACTGTGGAGTTGACCGGTTGGACCCGCATATTTGGCAGGTTTCTATTTTTGTATAATATTCTCCAGGAATCTCGGTCAATCATCTGCAATAACTCCACAGCATATCAGGCTCATTAAGTGAGCATTAAATGCTTTCCTTTGATGAAATATCTCCTAGCCGTTAGGGAATTTCCCGTTAGTTATACGACCGTTGAAAGCAGCTTCGAAATCTTCTAAGTGTCCATCCAGGTCTGATGAGATTTTCTGATGGCATTCTGACCTTGGATTCTGATGAACTTAGATAGGGAACTCTGATACTTCTCTGAAGTTGAGTTCTGATGAAGCTTTACTTCGAACTCTGATTGTTCTCTGATGAGCAGCTCTGCTGGTAGTTCTGCTGCTTCCCTGATGAGCAGCTCTGATGCTTCTCTGATGAGCAACTCTCATGGAGCAGTTCTCCTAGCAGTTCTGATCTGAAGTATCAAGAGGATCTCTGATCCGACGACTATGCTAATACTTACAAGGAAAATTCTAATACAAAATTTTTATAAGGGGTACTTTAAAATTCTAATCTAACCTAGCATCATCAAAATCTAATTACATTTATTCCTTACAGTCTGCCAGTATGCATGATGAACGATGGGGAGTTTTTACGGAGTTGTAGTTTATATGCATAATACTGACGACATGAAACAAAATGACTGCTTCGACCCAATATGCGCAATGTTTCCTCATGCGCAAGTAAATATTCGTCTGAGTCGACCGTATTACAGTTGACGGTCAACGATGAGGAAGCAGGTGCCAGAGCGCGTGAAGTTCCAG